AAAACAAATATTTGACATATATGTTACCTTATTGGAACATTTTGTTTTCATATTTCAGTTATTTATTTTTCATATCTTAAATCAATTAATACCGCATAATTTATACACACAAATATGTTAAAGTATTCTTAATTTATAAATAAATAATCCTTTTTAATTACATATTTAATGGTATCCAAAACAAGACATATTGCATTTCCTAATGACGGTAACAGCTCTATTAATCTTAATTACGAAATCAACAAAGTTTCTTGAAAACAATAATCGTCCAAACAACAAATTGCACATAGAAAGATGTTACAATCACAAGTACCTAAATTTTATATTCAACCGACTTGAGAAAAGGAGGAGGTTAGTTATTTTTTAGTTAGTAGTAGTAGGAGGAGGTTAGTTACTTTTGCCCAAATTAATTAAGTTGCACTTATACATATATAAGTAAAAATAAGTTTTCGATTGATATTTCACTTAATAAAAATTAAAGGTTCATGACATAACGAGCCCTCATAGACTGAGACCTAAAGCTTTTGCATTTTTTTCATATTGAGTGTTCAGAGTTTGCTCGTTACTCTACTTTTTCTTATTTTATAAAAAAAATATTATGAAATCTGATTGTCTTTTTTAATAGGGTAATAAAGATTTGCTCCTTATAGCAATGTGATTTGATATTAAATAATAAGACGAAACCTCTGAGCATTCAATGGGTTCACCCTGCGGGTGCCGGGTCCATCGTGTTGTTCGGATAGGATCTTCAACAGTGCCTGGGACTTGCGACCCAAATTAACACAAATTTTATAACTATTATCTATTTTCAATAAATAAATATTTGTTTTTGGCAGAGAAATAAATCGTGGACATTATAAAGTGATCTGTAAAGACAATTATTCCAAAAAGATCAAAATAGTATTTCAATCAAGTCTTTTCAAAATGGAAAAACAAAATTAATATAAAATGATAAACTACTTAATTTATTTGTCTTATGCTTTTGTCGGGATTAAAAGTAACAAAAAAATAAATACTCAAATGTTGGTTCAAAGTAATTTTGAGGGTATATATTGATAAAGTAAAATAATAAAAAATACAGATCACCACACAAAATATCATTATTATTTCTTATTTCACGTATAGTTTAAAGAATTTCCTAAAGATAAATAAAAAAAAAACTATTGATGAAAGACTAAAAGCGTCGTAGCTTATGGTTGAAATCCAAAATTATCAACAGATATTGTCCATGTCATTTGCATTTCATTGTAATTGTAAATGTGAGTGCACATTACACCAAGTCTCAAGCTGTGAGTCATCAACCGCTTAATACAGACTAGTGTAATGTATATTCACCTTAAGAGCGTATGGATATATGTATGTATACGTTAGATAGCAATATCTACAAGATCTTAAAGTATTTCCAATGATATAAATCTCACATAAACAGATTATTTTATAAATATTTATGGAATGGTTATTATGTTTTCTTAAATTTGATAAAATACTGATATACTAATTACGAAGGAAAATACAGTGCAAAATCTGGAAACTAAGGTTTTATTATAGTAACAAAATTTATATCTAACAAAATTTATATCACAGTTAAAACGTTAAATGTATGAGCTATACAAAAAATGTTATTATACTTATAGATTTTTGTTTACACACTTACAAATTACTTAGTTGTTAAAAGATATTGTTGTTATAATGAACTTTTGTAAACTCTTAAAAAATATTCCTTATCTGTTGCCTTACGTTTTAATCGTGTAGACTAGTCGTTCCCTTATACACCGTAGCATTTACTTTTCAATAAATTTTGATATATTTGTTGTCCTGGGTGTACACATGTATTATATTATATATTCTTATATCAGTGTGAAACCTAATGAGTACAAATAGAAGTAAACAAATTATTAGCCAAAGTAAAACTTCAAAGGAGACTTTGACCTTATTTATAAATTAAGATGCGTGTCTAAGTTACCTTCTCTGCCTTAACGTATATTTTTATTTACACACGTAACTTTATTAATACTACATCTCATATTTACTATTAATCTAAAGAAAAAACTCCATCTTAACTAAACCATAAAAAAAAAATCTATATTAACTCTTTGTTTTTTTATAACTTAGTGTATTTTTTTGAGTTGTAACTTTTCAGATTTTCAGAAGTAGTTTCTTTATATAAAAAACAAATAAACAAATATTGTTACCATAAATGTATTTTATAATTTTATCTTTAATTTTCGGATTTTTTAATTTAGTTTCTTTGAAAAAATTATGTTTGCTATGTATTTCTCTCAAACAAATCTTAAATGTGATATAATATGTATAAGGGTGGAAATAAGAAAAATTACAGAACTTAAACTTATTCGCTTCTCGAGCTTTTTAATGAAATTGCTGGAAGGAGTATTCTTCTTATGAAACGTTATTTAATGTCACAGAAAATATTAGATCTTAAAACGCTCGCTCAAAGCTATTTAGCACAGCTGACAGTATCAATTTATAATGTTTACCGCACTAAAGTTTAACTTTAAATGTAATGTTGTATCTTAAATCATTCCTTCATATTATTTTTAATGCTCTGGTTTGTACTTAACTTTAATTGTAAATTTATATAGGCTTTTTATTATTTTTGTAAGACCCGTTTTAATTTTTTTTTTACCTCATAATTAAACTTAATTTTCTTACTTTTGGGTCGAGACAAAATTAAATGTGACACATATCCTTAAGGCTACACCATAACTGATAATTGGCAAAAAATTATAAATTTGAATCAGTCACATTAAATTCCAAGTTTCAATTTATTATTCTAAAATAGACACTAAGATAAACTTGAACTAAATCAAATCACATAATTATGAAATATGAAATACAGAATTTAAAAGTGATAACTAGTAAATCTTTTTAAGTTTTATACATATTATATAAAATGGCAAATATTTCGAACAAAAATACCAGATTACTTCCCATATCTAAAGGTAGATTTTCCTATCACTAAGACTCAAGAATATTAAAACTGATGGTCCCATTACTTGGGCATTTTCTAATGTGATCGTACCAGCGGAAAGGATACTTTGTAAGCTTATCTAAAGTTGTTTTTATACTACATTTCAGAAAAAACGGATATCCAAAAAGAGAAAAACATTCAGATCTGGCTCCATTTCAACTGTGTGTAATATTAAAATGATGGGTTTTATTACAACATCTAATCAAGCTAAATGAACTAAAAATTAGTAGAACATTATAATATATGACTCATATAACAATAGGTATTGACTATTTTATAATAGTAATTATAGATTTGTTTGATAAAGTATCAAAATAATGATGAAGAAAAATTACCAACCATATCAGTGAAATTTTACTTATCAAATATTATTATAACGTATACTTAAAATATCTAAATAAACTGAATTATAAATACCAAATTCCTTTAAAAATTATAATATTGTTTTGATATATAAATTTATTTTCTCCCTTTCCTTTGTAAATTTTTAAATATATTACGCGTTTGTCACAAAAATATACTCATAAAATTTTAATAATTCGTTTGTTTCAATTAAAATTATTTGTGGGAAATCCAAAAGAACCATATGTGATCAGAGGCACATATAAATCGTGTAAGATAATAAAAAGCTATCTGATATTAAAACAAGTATAGTCAGTGGTGGCCTAGTGGTTAAAAGGCCCGCCTCTAATGCACGAGGGCGCGGGTTCGATCCTGGCCCGGGCAAGTACCAATGTGATTTTTCCAAGTCATATGTACTTTCTAAGAGTATTTAGACATCACTGAATAATGTTGATTCCTAAAGAGGGTTGATGTCAGGCAGGCGGCCGGTCGTAAAAACAAATAGCCAAAACTATTCATAACATGTAAGGCAGACCCTGGCTATAGCTGGGAAATTGCTAGGTAGAAGAAGAAGAAGAAAACAAGGTAAATAAATTTAACACTGAACAAATAAAATTTCTTGATGGATTTAAGTGACACTAATTCTGAGATTTGCAGTAAAGTTCCGTCGCAGGTGATGTGAAAATTGTAGTGTCAAATACCTCTATCTTGTAGACTATTTAGGTTTTGTTTTTTACATTCCTTCCTATACCCTTAGAGAATATAAGATATAACTTATGAAAATTTAAATATTTTTGTATTTTTTCTTGCCAGCTTAAACCAGTTTAACATCCCTTGCGGTATAAATAGTTATGAAAATATATTATATTCTTGAGACTCTTATTCTATGTAAAAATAAGCTGCTTTAAGTTCTTTTCATATCGTTTATATTATCAATTAAGTTACGCAATAGCTATTTAACAAAATGTTTAAGATTAAAATAAACTTTTGACGTATACAAATATATAATAGTGTCTTATATGTATAGTATACAATATTGTTACGTTCTTTTATATAATATTGGAGCCTTCCGTTAATCGGAATAATTTTTATTTTTATTAGAGTAAGTACTCTGGATGATTTCCATTTGAAAATAGTTTAAATGAACTCCAAAATAGGTGTTCTTAATTTGATTCTATGTCAGCGTAAATTTCTTTATGTAATTATTATTCTTACATGAAAACACAAAAAAAAAGTAAAATATAAAAAAAAACAAGAAAATCTCCTCAACACTATATAACAAAGGTAATATTTGAAAAACCAATATTTACATAAAGGTTGACAGGATATAAATTATATTCCTCTCTTAGGATTATTTTTATATTAAACTAGCTTTCCGCCCGCAGCTTCGCTCGCGTGGAGTTCGGTTACATCGTGTTTCCAAGAGAACCTTTCAAAAGTCTAGGATGAAAAAATTCCTACGTTCTTTCTCAAGGTCAACTCTATCTCTGTATCAAATTTCATTAAAATCAGTTCAGTGGTTTAGAGGTGTGAAAGCGTGACAGACAGACAGAGTTACTTTTGCTTATAAAATTAGTAGGGATGATCCCGACGTTTCGGTTACTAGTCGGCAAATTAATTCATTGATTTTCAAAGAGATCGCAGTATTATAAAATTTTCATTCAATCGATCAACTGATCGACCAACTGACCAACTGACTTGCCCGACTGGGCAACTGGTTGGTCAACTGATCGTCCAACTGATCGACCAACTGATCGTCCAACTGGTCGACCAACTGATCATCCAACTGATCGACCAACTGATCGACCAACTGATCGACCAACTGATCGACCAACTGATCGTCCAACTGATCGTCCAACTGATCGATCAACTGATCGTCCAACTGATCGACCAACTGATCGTCCAACTGGTCGACCAACTGATCGACCAACTGATCGCCCAACTGATCGACCAACTGATCGTCCAACTGATCGTCCAACTGATCGACCAACTGATCGACCAACTGATCGTCCAACTGGTCGACCAACTGATCGACCAACTGATCGACCAACTGATCGACCAACTGATCGACCAACTGATCGACCAACTGATCGTCCAACTGATCGACCAACTGGTCGACCAACTGATCGTCCAACTGATCGTCCAACTGATCGACCAACTGATCGTCCAACTGGTCGACCAACTGATCGACCAACTGATCGACCAACTGATCGTCCAACTGGTCAACCAACTGATCGTCCAACTGGTCGACCAACTGATCGTCCAACTGGTCAACCAACTGATCGACCAACTGATCGACCAACTGATCGTCCAACTGGTCGACCAACTGATCGATCAACTGATCGACCAACTGATCGTCCAACTGGTCGACCAACTGATCGTCCAACTGGTCGACCAACTGATCGACCAACTGATCGACCAACTGATCGTCCAACTGATCGTCCAACTCGCTTCTATCTAAAAACAAACAGGGCCTAACCCTCGCAGCGTCTACTCAGCATTACACAATACAATATTTGAATCCAGTTCCGGTTATGAATCTTTAATATATGTAGGTACAAAAATATAACACGATTCTCATATAAATTTCTTTAACACGAACGAGAAGAACTTGTACAAGAATTTACTAATCTGTGGATCGTATCTGAAAGCCGATCTGTTACTGTGAGCTAAAACTCGATTACGGACTCTAGTCGTTGACATCTGTTGTCTCTCTCGCTGATCTCACGGGCGCTGCGAACGTTCGATACTTGACTCTCTAGCACGCGATTGCAACGCGTATTCTCTCCGACTTGCAAGGCGATTTTCAGTTTCTGATGAAGATTCCTCATTACGCCGTATTTTTATTGCCCTCGCCTGGGAACTATGGTAAAAAGTTGAGATCTTGATCTTTTTGGCATTTTTGGGCATTATACAATGAAAAATAAAAGGAAATAAATAATTAAACAGGCTTTTACTTAAATCTTTGCTTGTTGAACTATATAAAGTACTAAGCTTTTTGAATAATTATAATATAATATTTATTATCAGGTAGGTAGTAGGTACTTAATAAAAGAAAACGCAAAATAAGGTTTTAGAAAACTACCTGTTACTATTTTTGCTTAAATTTTGAACAGGAATACCTATAAACTACTTCTATAAGCTGTTTGAATAGTTACATTAAAATATAATATTTATTATCAGGTACTTATTTATCTACGAAACGAATATAAAGCGAATTCAAAATTTCTTCAAGCTAAAATCATACGATCACGCACACGACCGCTGTGTAGGGCGCCAACCGCGCGGCCTTTTATTTTATTACATTGACTCCTCCCCGTACCCCAGTGACGCTTACATAGAGAGTACATCGCATGCCGGCTAGCTGAGCGCGGTGAGGGGCAACCACGCGACTTTTTTCTAATACTTGCATTTTTAAACTTGTGATATCTTCCGAATGAAATATCCGAATTGAATAATTCAAAAAGTTATAAAAAGGTATTGAAGCCGTCTTGAACATAAAGTAATTTATTTTGATAAGGATTAATACCAAGGTACAAATAAAGAGCCTTTTCAAGCGGCGGCAAATAAATAAAATTTTTAGAATAAAAAACCGCTTACTGCAACATAACTATAATATTTAGACATATACTGTCGCAACACTGCAAAGTCGTAGTAAATGATTTGGTTCTATCATCAATAGTTTTCGCAGCGCACGCGACGTAAGGAATTTTTCAGATCATTTTTTTACACTTTGGGTTACATTATTGGAGTGATAGTAAGGATCCCTAATTTTTTTTTAATATAATATAGCCCATATTATTCGGGAATAATGTAGCTTTCCAATCGTGAAAGAATTTTTGAAATCGGTCCAGTAGTTTCGGAGCCTATTCATAACAAATAAACAAACAAATCTTTCCTCTTTATTAATATAGAAAATCTTGTTGAGAATAAATTCTCCTTAAAATTCAAGCAATTAATTTCAAAATTGTTTTCCTATCAAGATATTTATCGCTCTCTTAGACATAAATTGTATGTCTACTACTTGAGATTTTAAAGGAAACAGGAAGGAAATGTTTAATTGGATTTATAGATATAGGTGTTGGAGATTTCCAAGATCTCAGTCGTGACACGAAAGCTATAACAGGTAACTTAAGCCGATTTTCTATGAAACCGTAATGATCCCACATTCGAGCATGCCATCTTGGGAGTTGAAGCCCACTACTAGCCACAGCTAGTCTTTGCTTCTTTAAGTCTTTGTATAAAAAATATTTAGGTGAACGGTAATGATTGTTGATTTATTTATTCATGCTCGTTAAAATAAACCTCCACAAATCTTTGACAACGTTTTCTTTCTAGAGACTTGCTGTGCCAGATACAATATAAATGTTTTACTCAATTCTGCTCTGAAGTTTCGAATTGATCTTTATTTTATAGTATTATTTTAAATTATCCCCACTATACGTTAAAAGTTTCCTTATATTTACCCTTCTAGCCGTGATTTTATAGAAGTAGTGGCAGGATTTTTATAAAGCGGTTTTTTTAAATGAACTAAACTGACGAACACAAAATATTTAATCTCTTTGGTTCTGAAAACTCTGGAAGCGTTATTATTTTAACTATAATTTATTATTATCAACGGTCGAACTTACCTTCCCATCATTAAATTGTACCATTGCTTGAATAAGTTAGATTTTACAAGTCATTTAAAGAATTTTATTTTATCGTTACACCTAGATACACAATAGTAACATTTTATTGAAACAACTCAGATGAGTCTTTAAGATCTAAATAATAATGAAATGATATTATCAATATATTGTTATCGGGAATAATAAACCCAAAATTATAATTAAATCTGAGAGTTGATGAATAATCAGCTCAATTTTTCGGTACCTTTAAAAATAAATCAATAGTCATATATAAATAAAATAAATTGATTATCATAAATGAGGTTATAATATGTTGTTATTTTAGTATGCAGTATTTTGTTAGTATGCAGATTATAAACATTTCAATAAACCTTTCTCTAATATTTTAATCCGATTCGATTATTAAGAAAAGATTGAAAATTTAACAAACTGAATCAACCCCTAAGTAGAAAAACTGAATCATCCCCTTAGTAAAAAAATAAACTTAGTAAATAGCTCACCATGTAAAATAAACTAAACTCAGTCTTTTGTATCTGTTATAAATATTCAATGTTTTTATAAATAATTAATTAATGTTTGTGTCGTTGAATTATCGCCAACTTCCTATTAATGAAAATGAATGAAAGGTGCAAAAAGATTGCGGTTTTATACATTGTCAATTCAAATTAATGACTGTATCGAATAGGACGGAAATATATTAAATTTATCTGAAAACATAACAATATAAAATTAATTTAATTTTATATTTAAATTTAATAAAATAAGTAGCCTTTGTTCACGAGTGTGAATGCGTAATAACTCGTATTTCTGAATAGGTGTTTTATAAGTATTGAATTTATAAAATACGTGTTTTATCGTATATAGTTATTGCTTTATATTCCGGCGACTTTTTATCATCGTTTCTTTATTATGAACAAGAAATTAATCAATCCAACAATCCTTTGCTGTGCGCACGTGGAAGCGAATCGCTTTGTCCGAATGCAAGAAAGACCTACAACGAAAGGATGGAGGCCCATCATTTGGTTGTAAGATCGTAGAAAAAACATAATTTATTGTATTAAAATGTGTCAGATCAAATTTCATATTGACAATTGTAAAACTATGCGACTATTAAACATATATTTTTTAATTCAAACCTTAATCCTCAGTTTCCTTTAAACGAATACACTCGAAAATCTTAGAAATCAATATTAAATCAACTTACATGTAAATATGCGTTTAGATTGAAACATTTAAGATGGTAGAGCTTAGCTGGCGTCAAGTAATACAATTCGAAAAAAGGGTGGCTCGATCGGGGAAGTTCCACCCTCTCACAGAAGATCTTCGTGAGGTAGTATAAAAAGGTTATTTTTTCCGATGAGTAAGAGAGCTGGGTTATATTGCAAGTGTTATCCGCATCAAGTAGGCAGTCTACTCGTTTGCCGCCATTTCTCATAATTAAAAGGTAAATTATATGTAAATGCATAGTTGAAACAAAGACAAACATTTCCCAAAGAGGGTTGATGTCAGGCAGGCGGCCGGTCGTAACAAACAATTAGCCAAAAACTATACACAACATGTAAGGCAGACCCTGGCTAAAGCTGGGAAATTGCCAGGTTGAAGAAGAAGAAGAAGCATAGTTGAAACAAGTTATAGAGGGAAATAAATACTAACAAATATGTAATATAAAAAAAATATGTATATGGGTTAGATTCATTAATTAATTTCATTATTAATAATTTAATATCCAATACATATACATTATTAATATCCAATATACAATATGTGAGTATAAAAAAATACACATAAGAACAATATATTAAAATTGAATTAACAAAGTTGTTTAAAAAAAAGATATAAAAAACAATTTATAACATTCATAAGTACGTATAATAACTAAATGTTGCAATAAGGTTATAAATGAAAATAAACTTCACATATTTATTATTTAATTTCAACCGTTCCCATAAACAATCATCTTATAAATAGCTTATAACCGTCTCGTTGTAGCGGGAAAGAGAAGTGTAATCATTTTCATGATGGAAATAAAGTTTCACAAATACATTATCAACTGTATTATTTTTCGTTACGGAAAACCAAACTGAAAATCTAAACTCCTCTTTAGCTTCGCTCACTTAAAAATGAAGAATAAAAAATAAAGCTTTGAGTAGACATTCATTTAATATGTAATTTCATATAATAGTATTATGAAATTTTCATACATTTTTAACAATACTTTGGAAATTTTAGAAAACAAAGCTTACCGACCCTTTACTACTTTGAGTTTGTTTATTACTATGTTTAAAAAATTCTCAGGTATAAAACAATCTTAACATGCTTTCTGCAAAAGCACGATAATATTGGTATTCAAATAAAATAAAATGTTATAATAATTAAAAAAACTCAAATAAATAAAATACTTTATAACAATTATGAATAACAACGTATGTATATCATACACAATTTATATTTTCCATAATCTCTAATTATTAGTAAATTGTTTTGTTTATTTCATAAAAACTCCACCAGAATGTAACATGACTCAAAAGATTTAAGGAGAGGCTTAATTGAAACTCTTACAAAGTATAAGTTATTAAAACATTAATTCAAATCATTCCACAACGTTTTTATAAAATGAACAACAAAGTTTTAATTATTACAGATAAGTGAATATTCTTTGGTTTAAGTTGAATCTCGTTGTTGATATTTAATATTACTTCTGAGTGGGAAATACAAATTCTTACAAATACTGACTGAATAATTGAATCATGGAACGTCCTAACACGTTATTCAAATTATTCTGAAAATGTTGCGTCCAATAAAGTAATGCATATTT